AGGACATAGTCTGACATTTAAGGACAATTCCAGTACATTTCATGGCCAGTAAAAAATTAAGTACAATTCCCGGTTTTCCCGGATTTCCGGATTGAATATCAGGGTGTCTACCAACCGGATTTCCGGTTGGTAGACACCCTGATATTCAACTACATAGCTCTTCATTAAGTCTCAAATGGATCTAAAAACAAGACTGTAAATTTAGGCAACATAATTTAACTGACTTTTTATAGGATCATATTCTACAAAGATCAGCATAATAGTTAATAATTAACGTTTAATAGAGGGTGTTTTTGAATACGTTTAGAGGTTCCACTGAAAATGCTAAATAATTACGCGCTGCTTGCCACATGGGTGTGGGTAATGCCACCACAGAATAGCTCTTACATACATAGTCAACACACACCAGAAAACAATTCCAGAATAGACATCACCTAGATGATTGGCACAAAACATGAAGCTGACCATTGTGTTAGTTAAGCATTTTTGTTACACAAGCAAACATTTAAAATACAAGCATAACTGTTAGTTGAAGATATGCAGCAATATCATAGAATATTATTGGTATGGGATGAAAGTCCTGAAAACACATTTAGGAAATGACACATCAAGACGGAAGATCACAGAAGGTAAATTATAATTCATAATTCAATTCTAGACATATATATAGTCAACACACATCAGAAAAAATTCCAGAATGGACATCACCTAGATGATTAGCACAAAACATGAAGCTGACCATTGTGTTAGTTAAGCATTTTTGTTACACAAGCAAACACTTAAAATACAAGCATAACTGTTAGTTGAAGATATGCAGCAATATCATAGAATGTACACATTATTGGTATGGGATGAAAGTCCTGAAAACACATTTAGGAAATGACACATCAAGACAGAAGATCACAGAAGGTAAATTATAATCAGTTTCTTTATAGTAAAGGACAATGATTAACAAGAGACAAAATGCTAAAATAAGAATTACAGTTATTTAATATGAAATAATTAGTTAAATAAAACAATTGAAAAAAATTAAATCATAAAAAACAAAAAAGTAAAAACCTAAAATGAAGATATGATGAATATTTAAAAGGATTGCAGCAAATAACCTATAAAGAACATATTTAGTTTCCTTTGTGGTTGATCCAGTTAAATTCATATGTTACCTACCTGTATTCTCTCATTGGCTACAAATATTAAAATACATACGATAAAAACAATCAGGGGTGTGCGATGCATCGAATCGCGATTCGATTCAGTGGTGGTCAAAAAACGATTCGATTCATGAGGGAGTCAGTATCCGTATACGAAAAACGCCTGCAGAAAGTCAACGCAATACCCGCAATACAGGAGCACGTTGTTGTTGCGTTTCCTTTACGATGGCGTTCTTATTTAATAAATTCTTTGCATGTAAATATTGCTTTAATTGTTTTATAATTTTTTGTTTTGACATTGTAAATGATGAGAGGTTTTGTTTTTTGTCTTGATGTAAGCAGTGTGAGACATGTTTTACAACTGTAAACCTAGCCAAAACAAGATAGGCTACTCCAAAATCATTCTTACAACAGTGCAAAGAAAACAAAGTAAAATAAAAACTATTTATCGAGAGGTACCAGTTAGATTATTTATTGTTTATTCCATACCTAGTTAAAAATATATTTTAGTATTTCACATAAGAAATTATAAACAAAAGAAATATCTGATCTAGTGTACGGATCTGTATCCTGTTCTTTTATTTTCTTATTGTCCTTTTTGTCACTCAGTAAACAACACTAGTGGTCGGCATCAGCAAAATAAGTCAACAAAGAGGTTAGGCCTACATGTTTTATTATTTTATGAAAGTTATCATCAGTAAATTGATTTTTTTTCTTAAGTTAGATGGGGCTTCAAAAAAGATATTTCTAAGATCCAATACAATACTAACAACTCACAAATTACAATGAATTAATTTCTTTGAAAATGATCTGTAACAGTTTTGTATTTTTGAAGAAAGAAATTTATTTTTTGTCTCTACTTCCTTGTTTGTCACTTGCATTTTGTCAACAATTGAAGCCACTGGGTGGTGTAAGAGGGGAGGGGGGAGGGGGAGGGTCTATGACCTAGAATGTACACATCGTTGCCAGGCCTGGCTGGTGAGAGTGATTCATTGTTTTTATGAAGATACTACCCTTCCTTCCGATAAAAAGACCCTGCTGTTCCAAAAACATTGATGGTAGTTTAAAAACATTGACCTGTGTTGCTAAGGGCACTAGAAGTTATTATTTAACTTTCTTATCTCTTGATTTAATATTATTTTAATCTTCTATATATTATTCAAGAGTTACTTTTCGGGTACCTAATTAATTGTGATATTGTTTGACTTTATTTTATGGATTTTTAATTCTTTTCATACATTAGCTATCAAAATCAAATAAGTTGTTTTAGGATTTTAATCTCTTGCAGTAGGTCTATACTACCACAGAAAACATACTCCTGTAGTATGTTTTCTGTGATACTACTGTATGACATGATCGTTTCCTTACTAATTATACCATAAACAATGTGTTTGTGTATGTGTGTTATTTACTGTTTTAGAGCTTTATAGTAAATTAGTTTACACAATATCTTTTCTTCAATGAGTTCTCCACTTGTCATGTTGCTTAGCCTATTACTATTTTAGGCCCTATAAAAAATAATGCCTATGTAATGTAAAGTTGTAGGCCTACTGATGCCAATTATAGATAATTCTTTATTTATGATGATGTAACAAATAATAAGTGTGAGGTTATTATACTAAGGGGGTTAGGAGACAGGTAATGAATGATTATTGCATGGTGGAAACATATTGTTTTTATTTTCTTCTTGCTTGCAGTCCTGAAGCCGGTCCACAGGCCCTAAACTTGTGATATGTTAATTGATTTGTTTATGGTCTTTTTATATTAAGTTCCATCATTGACTATTGGATTTCAAATTTATTGTAATTTAGCTACCGATGTAGTTATTTCAACAGTTATTAAAATGAGAATGAATGTCTTGATCAAAAAATACAATACAGGTTACTTTAATATATGATTGAAAAATAAATATTTTTCACCTAAAATTCATATGTTAAGTATGAATAGGCCTAATACCACATCAACAAAAATTTGCATTACACAAATGTGGTAAATTTTAATTATTGTTAATCCACTCAATTGACAATTGTGAATAGAAAAATACCGTATTGCTTTGAATCGAGTTGCATCGAATCGAATCTAAAATCTTTTGAATCGAATCATTGCTTCGAATCGAAAAAATTTTTCTGCTTCGCACACCCCTAATGTATTCAAAAAATAAAACTAGTTTAACATGTTTTCACAAAACATACGTTTTATGGATGTTAATCCTAATAGATCTTTAATATTCTTACAATAAATCTCACAAGGATTCTAAAAATTACAATAAACCCTATTCAAATATAATTGTTATTGCAGCTAGGCCCTATTGCCATATTATACATATTACATGTTATTTTAAAGGGAGGTGATTTTGGCCATTCCGTGTTTTTCAAGAGAAACTCTTAAATTTGAGAACGACAAATCAAACGAATAGTAATTTTTAAAGATTAACTGCAGAGGTTTTTAGTAATATTTCACACTCTCTAGAGTCCAGTGTAGAATAGAAAAACTTTGGAAAGACTTATTACTTTTTTCTAAAAAATCACAAATTCAAACTTCCATTGCCAAATAAGGACTTATGCAGATGTTTCATCTCAATGAATTCAATGAATTTGTGCTATTCATATTGGAAATTTAACGAGGATTCTAAAAATGACAGTGAATTTGGAATAAAAACAATGTTTAATGCACTTATGGCCATTTTATGTAAGCAAATACAAATATTTTGAAAAAATCTTAAATTGTCCGTTATTCCCTACCTGTGAGGGTATGGAAACTTAAATTGGTGCCATTTTGTCACCAAAACTTAGTAGTTAAACACATAAAATTTTTTAACACTAACTTCGTTCCACCCTGTATAACCCCCCCCCTCATCATCTTAGGGTTTTTTTTTTTTTTTTTTTGGTGTTATGGAACCATTTTGGTTTACCAGGGTTCTACTGTACTATATTCTTGGGGTTTTATGATTGTTTTTATTGTAGGCTTTATATATTATTTAAATATTTGTTGCTGATGAGAGAATACAGATAAAATATGAATTTCATTGGCTCTACAACAAAGGAAACAAAATTGTTAGTTGTATGACATTTTGTTTTGCACAATTCTTTAATAAAATGTCATACAACTGCAAAAAAAAAACCTAAATAAAAGCTCTGTCAAAGCAAACCAATAAGACTAAGCAAAATCCCATTTGTCCAACTAGATTTTTACTCAAATATTTTATTACAAGATGCCATAATCATCCTCCATTTTAAAAACATTAAGCTAAACAAGCAGTAGGTTTGCTGCTACAGGGTAGGAAAAAGGTGGTTTTTAGTAAAATGTAAATGGTTTGGTATGAAATTAATGTGTTAGATTTGATAAAAATAAACCCACAAACATATAAACCATGTTTAAAGCAGTTTACTTATTCTCGATAAGAATAACACAATTTAAATTTACAGTTTTTGTTTATTTACACTGTAACCAAATTAGCACCACACCATAGTGCTTCAAATCACTAGAAAAGAGTTGTCTTTTCTGTCTCAACATTGGGTTTTTAAATACTTTGGGAATGTCAAAAATGGCAATTTTTGCCCTGTAAAGCCCAGTTCCTATGTCCGATCATGCTAGTTCATAAACTTAATTAAAAATTCGGACCACAAATACTCGAGTTATCATGTTCACAGATATGATTCAACAAAATCACACACACACATACACTCATACATAGGACGAAAATATTATGAAATATATGTCTTATTTATGGAAATATTTGAGTAAATATGTAATCATACAAGTTGAAATTCGCTTAGTCTGCAGGTTTGCTGCGGCCTAAAAGCCATACATGCTGAGGTAGGTTTGGAAAAATAAATTAGTTTTACGGACCTCGGCTTTGTGCGAAACCTGCGTGAAATCCAGCAAAGTAAGCAGCTTTCTGTTTGCCGTGTTCCTCAGCAACTTTGACGGTCAGGCGCTCACTTCCACCATCTGGAATCTGTCCGTCCAAGTGTTTTATAGCTTCTTGGGCTTCCTCTCTTCGGTTGTATCTGTTCATGGAAAACTACATCAAAACTGTTTCACAAAATTGTTTGCAATTATTCTTGGGGGAAAAACTGGAAACCTCCCACTGCCAAACATGTGTCTATTACTAGAAGTATTTTTAAGAACTTAACAGGAACAAATTTTATGAGGTATTGGCTATCTGATGTATTTTCATAAGTTATCCTGGTATGGAAATGCTGGTACCGGCAATTTAAATTTTACCTAGAAGATACTGTTTTGTGAATTGTGGACATGATTGGAGTTCTAGCCAGAAAGTGAGAAATGGAAAATATCAGATACTCTTGGGAATTCGAAAAAATACCAGAATCTGCCCAAACAGTTTATAAAAGCTTGAAGAACTAAACTTTTATTAATTAAGGAATCAAATTCAGTGACTGATCAAGATGATGATTTTTTAAATCCATTTCAATTTATGATCTCCTCTCCTCACCAAGGGAGCTGTTCGCTGTTCATAATTTTGCCGCGATCGTGGATGACGCTGATGAAGTTTCCATGAGAACCCATTGTCCAATACATAATTCAGTAAAACCTTTGAACCTTGTTGAGTCGAGTCTCGGCATGCGAGCAGATCTGTCGACCGTTTACCACAAATTAGTTAGTAGGCCTACTTTAAATGCATTTTTGTCCTGGTAATATGTTTTGTACGTGTGTGTCGGAAAGACTGTGACGTGACCATGTTATGGTTTAGAAAAGTTTTTGTACGATTTGACAATGACGCTTTGAAGTCGAAACGTGTGTAATCCTATTCTTTGGACTGGCATGGATCACTTGGCGATCAAGGTAATGCAATTTTATATTTATATAATATATTACAATAGGCTAGTATATATATTCTCATCAGTGATTCAGCAAAACAACATACAACATGAACGTAATATTAATTTTTCGAATGGGTAGCCTCCGGATTATCAAGATACAATTAAAGTGGTTTAAATACCTGTAATGTTGATAATCCAATCGGTTGTGAAACAACAAGTTTCGGCTCACAATGGAGCCTTCTTCAGGTTTTACCAAGGACATTGTCACTTCAATGTTTTTTTATTCTTCTTCCGAAGAAGTGACAATGTCCTTGGTAAAACCTGAAGAAGGCTCCATTGTGAGCCGAAACTAGTTGTTTCACAACCGATTGGATTATCAACATTACAGGTACTGTATTTAAACCACTTTAATTGAACGTAACAGTTTGTTAAAATGGATTGTACATTCAACTCTAATTCAGTCTATTATTGATATGCAGTAGGCTTCCACATTGTTTATGAAACATTACAGTTCATTCGACAAAATTAAATGGAAGCAGAAAAGAAAATATCGATCGATAGCCCAAGGTCACATTTAAGGCCAGGCGCACACAGGCGATTATCAGTCAACCCACTCGGAGACTCTGAAGTCTAGCAACAGTTGAGCTGGAGTGCGCACACAGGCAACTTTTTAGTCGAGAATCTAAAGTCTTTAAGACGTAAGTTAGACATTACATTCGTTAACAGCGTTAACAATACCAAATGGATTTCAATGATACAGCCATAGTATGTGCTTTGTTGTTGAAGTTGTGATTTTTGATTTTATCCTCTTGTGTTAGGTTGTTCCAATCTTTAGTAACTGCCAAGGACACTTCATCCCACAACTTCTTCTTCAAATTAATATCCGAACAGTCTTTCAATGACTTTAAATATAAAGGCGGTCTCACGTCAACTTAATCAATTAATTGTTTGACATCCTTATCACGGAACTCGTATTTAAGTAATTTTATAAAAACTTCACACAACAAAAAGAGAGCAAACACTAGTGACAGATTTGGCCACGAGTAGTTGAACTCCTCGGGTGAGACTAAGCGACAGAGCGACAATTTAGTTGCATGTGTGTGCATCTACACTTGGTTCAATGGATACCAAACCTGGAGGGACAGTCCCGCAACAATTGAGTCGCAGAGCAGTTCGCTGGCAAATTGGCCCTGGGAACATCGGTTGCAACAGTTGCCCGTCTGTCCCTAGACTGTTTCCTTGGTGTGCGCACTCCAATTTAAAACAATGTTGAACATTTTAGTCAGGCAACTGTTGCGCGACTCAAAATAGCCTGTGTACGCCTGGCCTACCGCTTTCGTTATCTCTCCTGCTGTGAACTAGACATAACGCTTAGTAATCTTTAACAGGGTGATTAGTAACCATGGCCACTTGCTGAATGTGTTGATGAAGGGAAACCCAAGAATGAATAGAAGAACAATGAGACAGAACAATGAGATAGAATGTTGACATTTTCTTCTTGTTATCTTTATAATCTTGCTGTTATTTTCTTTACCAATGCCTGGTTTTTAAACTAGCCATTCAGTTCAGCTTAGAATTTAAAAGTACAACAGTACACTTAACAACATTGTTTACTTACTTAACAGCATTGTTTTTTTTTTTTTTACTTAACAACACAGGTAACGGACCAATAAGGTTCAAGGATTGAGAGAAAAGAAGTAAAATTGTAATGCTTCAAACTTCAATTTATCAGCTGGTTAGATAAATTTAATGGTTGAGTGACCGGTGCCATTGGTGTTTGGTACCATGATTCGTTGCATCACTGTCAGTGGCAATGAGAGTTTATAAACGAAAACACAACCTCTCTTAGAAGTGTACGCAACTTGCGTAAATAGTCTTAACAAAACTCATAGAAGTTTAAATTTCTATTATCTTTACGCGATCGTTGCGTAAACTACTATTACGTATTATTTTATCCTTCTTTTATTGTTTTACAAATTATTTGTTTACAACCACAGGAACATAAATTATAATTATAAATTTGTAGACGTGCTTCTCTTCTGAAACAGCACTACCAGAAGTGTAATAAAGGTCAATGACTGAAAATATCATGATTGCTAGATATTGTATTGTGTTGAAGTTAAAATGCAAATTATGAAATTAATGTTTATTTACACAGTTCTAAAGTGTTATGGGTTTGCCACATATTTTGTAATTTGTAACTAACCAACATCAAATAATCCAAATCCGAACCTCCCAATATCAGACCGACCCAAAATCGATCTGAAATTAAATTTCACTATCCGCACACCTCTAGTTTTAACGTAATAGACTTGTTAGATTTTCATTGGCTGCATGTTGTTTAGTTTACTTTCATCTTTACTGGAAAAAAACATCCCATTACCACAAAAATACTTTATAAATGGTATCGTTTCGAGAATCGATAGATCTTGGTATCGACACATCACTATTTAATAAGAAAACTTCCATAATGGTGTGGGCTTTTAAAGAATCATTTATAAGAGCAGGTTCACATTATTTAAAATATTCTAGACCAATTTATTAAAAAGAGGCTTTTAACCAAAGGTGTGTTTATTGATGTTAAGTAAAACTTGACAAATTGAGCATTTATTTGGTACCTATTGGAATCATTACAATTGCTGAGCTGAAACTTACCTAACAAAGGCGACTCCTCGAGGTAATCCAGTTATTTTATCCAACAAAAGATTCTTTTGTACAATTGTTCCATATCCGCTGAAGAGTGCATCCAGGTCTGCATCGGTATAGTGCCTAAGATCATCAAAATTATATCAAGACAGTGATTTATGACAACAACATAGTTTTCGACAACCAACTTTACCAGTTAGACATAATTTGTTATATACTCATTGTTGTGGCTTGCCCCTGAACTGGTAAGACAAGTATAAAATAATAGTGGTTTATTTACCTTTACTTTAAAGGCCCTAAAACAGGATAGCGATAACGAATTGAATGAAAAATTAAATAAAAGTTCACACTTCATCTTTAATAAAATCATCCAAACATGTCAAGTTCGTCAGACAAGTCTATCTTCAACAGACAACCCCCCGCAGGACGAGTCTTATGTCCAAAGAAGGTGCAAGGGTCGTGTAATCACAGAGACGCCGTCGCCCTCAGTGTTCTCCTGCCGGCTCCCACGATGGTACAATTTGATAATTACTGTTCATCACAGGCCTGTGTTCTGTCCACGAGAACCTTTTATTTTATTTAGAATGTACGTGTGTGTTTATCTCCGTGTCCGTGTGAATATAACGACGTCCAAGCGACTGGCTATGACATGGTATTTCTCGACTTGCTAATTACGTTACCATGACGCAACTAGCGTCAAAACCATGTTGTAGATACTACAACTTTTATTGAACTGGGACAAAAGTAAAGGTAAATAAACCACTATTATTTTATAATTTGTTATAGCATTGTATTCTCTAGCAAGTTTTATGGCAGTCCATACCTCTATCGGTGGTTACGATTGCAAAATGGCGGAACATAACTAGGAATGGAAAAGACCATTTACCGAGGACAAGAACAAAAAAATTTTTTAACTCTATTCTAACCAACAAAACAGCCAAGTATACCATGTACTGAGCTACAGAAATTATGGGCATGGTTATACAGAGGCTACTCAGGTAGCAGTACTTGTAACGACCCAAAATCCGTCAAGGTGTAAAAACCCGATTTTCAAAAGTTTCATTTTAAGTAGGGATGGGCCGATTCCGATTCTCGATACCTTCGATACCAGTGGTATCGAAGAATCGCCGATACTCGATACTTCGCTTCATTGTACTCGATACCGATTCTGAAAAGTGAGGTTAATTATAATGCTAAACTCAATTGACATTGAAGGTTGTAAAGAGTGGCACATCATAGTTTATTTGGAATACTCTGAAGTCAGCTAATATAAATAATTCCAAGTTCATTATTTATTTCACATTCGTAATAGTTTTATAATCCAAAATAGATTGCCTTTGCAATTCACGAGTAGCAATGACGATTGACGAGCTGTGTTCAGTTGACAACAGTGACAACTAGCAGTAACAGAACTCTAGTTGCCGCCATGTTGTCAGATCAAAGGCAATGTTGCCAGATGGTACAAGCATTTAATATATACTAGGGATGGACGAGATTGGATTTTTAGTTCGAGACGAGACGAGACGAGATTTTTTATTTCTCATAAAATTTCGAGACGAGATCGAGACAAGATTTCTCTTCTCATACACAACGGGAAATGCACGTTCGAAATTTTTACCTGATTTTGTAATATTGTTAGATGACTGTTTAAATACTAAAATAATGATAACAGGCAAGAATATTTACAATCTTTCATTAAATAACATCAGCATAACATTTTTTTATTAATCACGCCTAACTTATTAAAAATGCCTACGATTAGGAAACATGGTGATATCAGTTAGGATAGAGTTCAACTTATCCTAAAATAAAACAAATCATAAAATAAAAGCAATATTAATTTTTATAAAATAGTTACTTGTTTTGACTTTTTTTATAGTAATAAAACATTCCTCACACTGCTTACACTTAACAAAACTTCTCAAATGTTATTAAAGTACTATTATTAAAATAATGAAAGTAATATTTACATTAAAAGAATTAAAGTAATATTTACATTAAAAGAATTAATTAAATAAGAACGCCTTCGAAAAGGAAACGCAACTACAACACGCTCCTGTATTGCGGGTATTGCATTGACTTTCTGCAAGCGTTTTTAATTTTTTTTTTTTTTTTTTTTTTTTCTTGTCTCGATAAAAATCTCGGCCAAAAAGTAATCTCGTCTCGTGTAACGAGATTGAAAATTTCCCGAAAATTTCCCGAAATTTCGAGACTTGACCATCCCTAATATATACATATAATACACATATTTTTTTTTTTTTTTTTTTTTTTTTAAAGAGGTTGGCGGCCTCTTTAAACCTTGCATTTGCCCGTCCACATAGACTACAGATCTGTGCGTGGAACGTATCCAGCAAAGCAAGGGGTGAGCCGGTACAGTACAAAGGTGAACTGTACTGATAAAAGTTTGTGGCAGTGACCAGGATCCGAACCCACGACACTTATACATAAGGTGATCTCACAAAAAAAGGTAATCTCAGGCTAAACAGTAGAAGTTGGTAAATGGTGGAGGGCAAGTCCCCCAAAGCAGAATCTTTTTTGACTTGCTGCTACATACATTAACCATCCCAAAATCTGTCTAAAGAAATTTACTTGTTCACAATTTTATTAGGATTTCCACATTGTACAAAGTTAGTTAGGCCTAAATATAGGGGTGTGCGATGCATCGAAAATGCATCGAAATTTCGATTCGATTCGATTCGATGCATCGAATCGCGATTCGATTCAGTGGTGGTCAAAAAACGATTCGATTCACGAGGGAGTCAGTATCCATATACGAAAAACGCCTGCAGAAAGTCAATGCAATACCCGCAATACAGGAGCGCGTTGCTGTTGCGTTTCCTTTACGAAGGCGTTCTTATTTAATACATTCTTTGCATTAAATATAGCTTTAATAGTTTTATATTTTTTTGTTTTGACATTGCAAATGATTAGAGGTTTGTTTTTTGTCTTGATGTAAGCAGTGTGTGAAATATTTTACTACTGTGAACCTAGCCAAAACAAGGTAGGTTACTCCAAAATCATTTTAAAAATAAGTCTGAAAAATTGTTACTTAATACTTAACTAGTAAGATTAATGTTATAGACTGATTCATTTGGTATTTTTGTTAGGTGTCTGCCGGTCCCCGTCCCCGAATTTTTGTTGGGGCAAAAGAAAAAAAAGAATAATTTATTTCCAAAGAAACACTTTTATATTATTATATCTATTATTACAGAGGAATTAAAATGTTCAAATGAGAATTAAAAATTAAGTTGGCTCGCGACCTTTAAGAATAAAGACACAACAGAGCAATTGCCGCACTGCCACTAGCCAGAGCCAGGTCTAGTCGTCTACTGATAAGAGTAACAAGACAAAAGCCGTGACGCAACACTAACAGTGCAAAGAAAACAAAGTCAAAAGAATAGAAAGTCTATTTATCCAGACATACTAGTATAATCATTTATTGTTTATTCAATACCTAATTAAAAATATATTTTATTATTTTACATAATAAATTATAAACAAAAGAAATATCTGATATAGTGAACAGATCTGTATCTTGGTTAGATGGGGTTAAAAAAATATATTTCTAAGATCCAATACAATATTTACAACTCACAAATTACATTGAATTAATTTCTTTGAAAATAATCTCTAACAGTTTTGTGTTTTTGAATAAAGAAATATATTTCTTTGTCTCTACTCCCTTGTTTCATCACTTGCATTTTGTCAGCAATTGAAGCAACTGGGTAGCAACCGGGTGGTGTAAGAGGGGAGGGGGAGGGTCTATGACCTTGAATTCACACATAGTTGCCCGGGCCTGGCTGGTGAGACTGATTCATTGTTTTTGTTGACATACTACTACCCTTCCTTAAGAGAAAAAGGCCCTGCTGTTCCAAAAACATTGAGGGTAGTTTAAAAACATTGACCTGTGTTGCCAAGGGCACTAGGCTAGAAGATAGCATTTAACTTTCTTGTCTCTTGATTTAATATTATTTTAATCTTCTATATATTATTTAAGAGTTACTTTTCGGGTACCTAATTAGTTGTGATATTGTTTGGCTTTATTTTATGGATTTTTAATTCTTTTCATTCATTAGCTATCAAAATCAGTTGTTTTAGGATTTTAATCTCTTGCAGTAGGTCTATACTACTGTATGACATGATATGCATTTTTTAGTCCTTATTAATTATACCATAAACAATGTTTGTATGTTATTTACTGTTTTTGAGTTTTATAGGAAATTAGTTTACACAATATCTTTTCTTCAAATGAGTTCTCCACTTGACATGTTGCTTCTAGCCTATTACTATTTTAGGCCCTATAAAAATAATGCCTAGGTAAAGCTGTAGGCCTACTGATGCCAATAATAATTCTTTATTTATGATGATGTAACAAATAATGCAAGTGTGAGGTTATTATACTAAGGAGGTTAGGAGGCAGGGAATGAATGATACATATTGCATGGTGGAAACATATTATTTTTATTTTCTTCTTGCTTGCAGTCCTGAAGCCGGTCCACAGGCCCTAAACTTGTGATATGTAAATTTATTTCTTAATGGTCTTTTTATATTAAGTTCCATTCAAATTTGTTGTAATTTAGCTACCGGCACCTATTTAGTTATTTAAACAGTTATTAAAATGAGAATGAATGTCTTGATAAAAAAAATATTTTCTTCTTTCTTGCAGTTGAGCCAATTCAAGTAAAAATTATGAAATAGGCAAGTAAAGCAGCTCACTGGTATTTCCAGCAGTTATTCTAATACATATGATTGAAAATAAATATTTTTTCACCTAAAATTCATATGTTAAGTATGAAATAGGCCTAATACCACATCAACAAAAATTTGTATTACACAAATGTGATACATTTTAATTATTGTTAATCCACTCAATTGACAATTATGAATAGAAAAATACCGTATTGCTTCGAATCGAGTTGCATCGAATCGAATCGAAAATCTTTTGAATCGAATCGTTGCTTCGAATCGAAAATTTTTTGCTGCTTCGCACACCCCTACCTAAATAGTTTCTTTTTTTATTTAAAAACTGAGAGTAAATATGCTATTACAGTAGAACCTCTTTAATCCGAACTAATTTGGACCGGGGGTAGTTCAGACTATTGAATAATTTGGATTACAGAACA